TAACTTCACCACATCCCATCCCAAAGGAAACACCTGTTCTTCCTCTCCTGATGCCTAGCTCAGTAAATGACAGTACCATCCAAAAATGTGCCCAAGGCAGAGACCTGGACACTGTCTTTAACCCTTACCTCTGCCTCTCAATTTATCACCCAAACAATTGCTATGTGTTCTTGAGTTTACCTTCTAACTATCTGTAAAATCTGTCCATTTCTCTCCAGTCCCACCATTCCCAGATTAAATGATCTTTCCTCTGGATTACTGATGATCTCTAATTGTTCTTTCTCTAGTGAGTCCTCTCATACCCACCAAACCCAATTCTTATCAGGTTTAGGTTGATCATTGGAAAGACATGGTGATTGTGTTGCTTCTCTGCTTAAAATCCTTCAAGAGTTTGTAACTAAGTTCCTATCGACATATCCTTAATGACTGGCTGCTGCTTCCCCAGTAAGCTTCACCTGGCATACCTGCCATATGCTATCCCTTTTCCTTCACCACTCAAAACACAGAGCAGCCAAGGGAGTAGGAGTTTCAAGAGCACCACCTTCTACTGGTTATTGAAGGCATTATATATTCATCCTCAAGTGGAAGCTGAAGCTGAATAGATGTGCATGATACTCTGAATGATTTTGAGATGTGGTCGCCCATGCAAATCACATACTCACTGAACCAAATTCAGGACATTGCAGCAATCCTGAAAAATCCATTTGACCCCCCAAATTACAGTTTAGTTGCAAATCTTTCTGTCCTGAAGACATAGCCACGCCCTGCAATTTCTCAGATGCTGACCCTTAAGAAGTGCAATTCACACAAGGAGGCTGATTCTATAACAGCGAAGAGCAGCACTGTTACTCTAAGGATGGGTGTTCTCAGTGTGGCGTGGGGAATTTCCTGAACAAAAACCCACATCTTCCTTGATATTCCAACATGCACTAATCCACTGTGTTTGCCAGAATAAATTGCAAAGGGATTCAGTCACGTTCCAGGTTCAGCCTAGGCACACTCAGTATCCAACATAGGCTGGAGATGAAATAAGGAAACTCTTTTGGGTGTAGCTGTAAGGTCAACAAATTGGAAAAAGCCACAATTCACCCTTGGGAAGGATTAGATACGCTGACATCCTCCAAATTGATTTACCTAGATCAGACCACATGTTAATGAGGCAGGCAAGTTACTCTAATTCATCGTTACTATTCTAAATGCAGGGACCTTTTCACATTGAAGAGGCGGGGCAATGGATTCAAATGAGCATCAGTCACTTACGGCTTGTCACTCACCCTTGCTAGGCCAAAGCCATTTATAATTGCTGTCATCTAAACTGCACTGAAAAGAACTGGACATTCAAAGAGCACAGCTCCCAAGAAACAAAGTGAGTTTTCTTCCCCTATTACCTGCACTGCATCATAAATGCTCTGAGCTGGCAAAATGTGAGCACTTAGATTTCTTCTGGGCACAGACATTTTTCTAAGTGCTTTAAAAATTTCTATTATTTGAAGGGTCTCCTTGAAAATGCCTCACTTTTCAAGACTGACTCTTCAGTGACATTGAAACATTATTTGTACCACAGATATAAAAGCTACATTTCAACTTCATCCAAATTGTGAGTCGGAAAGGCAAGATATTTTTTGATGACGTTACACCTACCAATAAACTTTATTCATGTCAGAAGGTAAAGTTCATGCCTATATAGAAAGTGAAATGTATTGGTGTGTTTATGTGATGACTCATCCACACAAAGTGATGTGGCATAATCATCTAATAAGCTATTTCTGTAGGTAAAGGAGAAGGTAAGTTAATGACCAGATAGTAAATACTTTAGGCTTTGTGGGTCATATGGCCTGTTGCAGCTACTCAAATCTGCCATTGTTGTATCAAAGCAGCCATAGGCAATATGTAAATGAATGTGTGCAACCGTATTCCAATCAATTTTTGCTATGGACTGCACTGCAATTTGATTTTCATATAATTTTTACATGTCACAAAACAGTATTATTCTTTTGATTTTTTTCTCTGTGATTTAAAAATGTAAAAAACATTTTTCACTGGCAGGGTCATAGTGAAACAGGTGGCAGCTGGATTTGGCCCATTGCCCACAGTTTACTGACTCCTGTTTTAACCTGTACTTTTGAAAATAAGACATATAACCTCTTTGCTTACATTTCGTTTTCGAGTACTTTATCAACAAGAACTCATGAAGATCAGTGGAAGCATGAAAATACAAAAAACAACTGCTGCAGTGTGTAAATACTAGTAATTTCAGATTTTACTTTGGTAGAGTTAGAAGGAGAATATTCAAGAAGAAAAAAAAAGCAAGAAGCATCCAGACTATTTTCCTTAGATTGCTGTGTTTTTTCTTGTAATTTCAGTACTCATTGAGTTAAATTTTTCCCAGGGGAATGTACTTCCAAATTTCTAATGGATTGTAACTTTTCTTTTCTAACAAACGAATATTCATTATTCATATTCATAAATAATCCTAATAAAATTACTTTTTCTGATTACAAAAGTTGCATTTGTTTATTTTAGACTACATGAAAAATGTATAAGATCGCAGATTACTTTTAGCTCAGGGAAAATTACTATTTAAAAGCAAGAAATCGTTTTATCTTCTCTCATGCATCCGTAACTGCAACTGCAGTCATGATATAAAAATATTTCCACTGGTGAATCAGATGTTGAATAAAACACTCGGCTATTTGGCTAGAAAACTGGGTTTAACCTTGCGTGTGGATTCAGGGTGAAGCAAAGGTCTCTAATTCTAAATATTTGTTGGTAAACGTTGCTTCATCAGCTATTTGGAAATCAGTTTCCATCAGATTGGGTAAAGCCTGCTAACCAAACAAAGCAGCAATTAGGCCTCAGAAGACAGCCTCTGTTTTTATTCTTCTTGTACTCATACAAAGTCTGTTTGTCCCTTGCCTCAATCCTCCTACCTCCTTCTTTGGTATGAAATGTCTTTGGCTTGCAAAGCAACATCTGTGAGGTTATCAATGCATTCTGTGGCAGGCTCACTATGTACTGAAGGCCTGCACAGGTGTTCATTCTTTGAGAAGGCTCAGTCCATGTGACTGTGGCTTTTTTTTTAGTGCTCTTGTTGTTGGCAGGTAAGCCAAAGCAGCAGCCTATAGCTTCCCTTTAATGGGAATATGAACACTGAGAGTGAAGCTGCGGACTTACAGAGCTTTCTTAAAGCAAATTCAACTCTTTAAAGAAAAATAACAACAATTCTTTGCCTTCAAACCTCTCTCCTCTGCCCCCAACCCACACCCCCAAATCAGACAGGCCAGATGTTTGTGAAAACTGCCGTTTCCACAATTCAAAAGTACAGCATTTACCATAGCTTTTATCAAAGATTTCAATTCCCCTCATCTTAAGGAAAATGACCCTTTTATTTTGTTGTGGACATAAAATTATGGCCCAGGGAAAATTGGAAGCATTTCTGTTGAGGGAAATCAATTTTCTCACTGCCATATATGATCAACATGTCACAGCCATCACCCAGATAATAATAGTAAAGTACAAGTAAAATGACTGGTAATACTGGCTTTAAAGGTAGAAAAAGATAGAAGGAAGATAACACCCCCTCATCCCCACCCCCCCTTTAAAGCATGTTTGCAAAAAGAAGAAAAGAAAAGAAAGATCTCTAAGGGTTATTTTCGCTCTTTAATTTTCCTCCTTCCACCTCACTTTCTTCCCTTTGCTCGTGCTTTCTAGAGTGTAAGTATTTTATTTTCTTGTGGGGACTAATCGGCCAAAGCATTAATGAAACTGTAGAGATATGCATTCTTCCTGGAAAAGAGTAAGCACTTTATGTGTAAACCACTCTGGCTCCTTTTCAATCACCCTGTTAATGGGTGGCTAATTGTCAAAAGATGTGACCAGACTGAGATGACCCTAGAGTGTGTTTAGGTGGGAGGCAACAGGGAAAGTACAGAAGCAGCTTCTTAATTTGGATCCTGCAAACAAAAGGAAACATCAGATCTGACCTCGCTGCTGGAGTGTTAATGGCTTTCTCCCCGTCTCCCCCCTGCCACTTAGCATCTTTTGTGCCCCACCCTGGGAAGCTTCCCGGCAGAAGTGTGCATTAGCAGAACTCTACAGTTACAAAATGCTGCTTACTACAGACAAGGGAAAAAAAACCTTCACAGTGATTAAATGTTTTTTGGACAAACACATCCATAGCCATAAAAGTGCCATTTTTATTTCAGGCAGGCCTCTCAGTCATGTCCCTGCTGGGGCCAACAGCACAGTGGTGTACCTACAGTGTCATTGGAGCCCTTCAAAGAAGATCTAAGTACTGTCTTTCTCTTTGTAGGAAAGTTGGCCCCCACATGTAAATGTGGGAAACCAAAATGGCATTCATTTAGGCCAAGGTCATTACTGAGGAAACAGCAGGCAGAATCTTGGCAAAATATCAAATATTTTCAATAATTCAACCATTTGCAAAAGAATGCTGCTTGTTTCGGAATACAAATGAGAACGAGCAGTAGAAAAAAGAAATTCAAGCTAGGGACCAAAGAAACCTAAGCTAAGGACTCTCACAGATATGATAAATGTGGCATGCACAAAGATGTTCATAGAAGTATTATTAAGAATTGGAAAGAACCTACTCTCTAGCAATAATTAATTTAAAAAGATAAACTGTGGCATATACATATTATGAAGCTACTAAAGACAATCGTTTTAGAAAAGAGAAGTAACACCAAAGATATAGACAAACACTTTGTGGATTTAAGTAAAATAATAATAATAAAGTTATAGCTATGGAAAAATGCATCCTCAGCAAAATACACCAAAAACAAATACACCAGAATGTTATGGTTGTGTTAGGACAGCAGTATTACGAGTGAAGTATGTTTTTTTTCTTTTATTCTAATTGGTAGAGAATTGGATGCTGTATTGATTTAGAAACGAACAAACAAAAGAAACAAACAAAAAGTAGGCAGAAATAAGCCCTAAGAAGCCCTTTTTGGTGTGTGAGAACATCATTCAAAAAGAAGTTGTACAACTTTTTCCCAGAGTTTTATTAGAACTTAACATCACAGTTCTCCAATATTTACATGGTAAATTGAGACTAAAAAGGCCCAGTGGGCTCTTTCTAGCCCAAAGGAGGTACTCTGCTCCCAACAGCAATGTCCCAGCACCTTTTCCCACTCACCTTCAAAACATCGTGTGCCTGTGTGCTGCAATTTCCACAGAGAACGTGACATAAAATTTGGAGACTCTAGACAATGCCTGATGCTCAATGACATCAAAAACATCTGGACTCAAAGAGAAAAAAGAGTTGATTTTTCTCCCTTTATTTTATAACCTTTCTTTCCCACCTCAAAAACCTACTTTCTCTTGTACACTGGATATATGCATAGTTCATCTGAAGGTTTACTCCTAGTTAGTTTTCTCTTTTTTTGAAGACCAAGAGTTGTCCAAGGTATCCATATCCCAGCTCATAGTCCCAAACTGAAAGGTTATATCAGGTCAGGATGTAAGTCCCACATCAGGAAAAGGCCACATCTGAATTGAGGAGACCTGGGTGGCTGTTGGCCCACTTAGCACTGTGGCTGGAGAGGCTCTCAACCCTCTAGACAGCGGCATGGACCATGTGTTGGAAATGATCAAACTCAGTGGCTTATTGGAGTGGAATGGTAGGAAGAGAGGTGTTCAAAGAACACTTCCTATCAGTTAGTAAAAGCACATCAATAAAAATAAATCAATGCCCACTTGTTTTCTAGGAATCTGCTTCATATTCAGCAAAGACTCCCATTATGCTGCATTTCTGATAGACTAGCACAGAAAAGATGTGGTTTCAGCTAGAATAAAGTATCTTGAATAAAAGCATTACTCTGTCATCAGAATCTTCCACTGTGGACTAAAATGTGAAGCAAAGATAATCTCAGATACAAAATTTTAAAATGAGTAACGAGTAAGAGATGACACACAATAGATATTTGTAAAACAAATGAGTGATACACAGGAATGTAAAAAATTTTGGAATAAAAGAAATAATTAGAAGCAAAAAGTTTAGTTAGAATGTGGCTTTTGAAAGAAGGGGAAAACATTCCTTAATAAATGCCATAGATAAAAATGTGCTGTGGTTTATTGAGAAGTGGATTGTGAACAAATTACAGTGGGTTGGAGAACTTGAGTCTGATTCTTCACTTATTAATTGACCTGTGTTGCTCTGAGTAACTTTTCCCCTCCTAGAGCCTTGGCTTTAACAACAGGAAAATCAAATAATTGAACCAGATCAGACACACGTCCCACCTCTCATTTCTGCCGCTCTTGTAACAGACATTGCTAATCAATGGTGGCCCTTACCTGCGGAGCCTGGCTGAGGGCTCAGAATCCTTCATTTGACAGTGTTCCTGGCAGCCATTATTAAATGATAAGTTTAGATGTAACGGATAAAACTTTTCCATTACAGTCCAAAATGAATTCCTAGGTTTGTGACCCACCATGACCCTAGAAGCTCTTTTCCAACCCTCCATAGAACAAAATTAATATGTTTTCCATTAGCTTTGTGAACACCCAGCTCCAATGACACTCCATAGGCTCCAGATCAACTTTCCTCAAAATGTACATCCAAGAAGTTCCGTGTTTCAAGAGTTACTGTGCTGAAAGTACCAGCTTATTCCAAATGCTGCTTCCTTTTTTAGTAGTCAATTTGTACAGATGGCAGATAGCAAATGTTTCTTTGGCTGGCATGAGACACCTGGCAATCTCCACCACAACCATCTATAAATCACAGTAAGAGGGCATGCATTATCAATTCTTTATTAATTTAATTAATTCATAATTTATAATTTTAGTAGTTGTCATACCATTATATATGTAATTTTATTTTCCTCCCAAATCCATAATAAAATAGAACAATACTGACCTCTTCCATAGATCCAACTGGCCTATGTTCCAGAATCCAGTTGAACCGCTGCATTCTATGATCAAACTATGAAAACACATGCCACACCCCTTCTCCAAAACCTGCAGTAGCTCCACTGTCTCATTGGCCCCAGACTCATTGCCTTGTGCTTTATGATCCATTATTAGTTGGATTTGTCACATGTTCTCATGTCTCTTTATTTATATGAACATTGTTACTCCAGTGGAGAGACCTGTTTGCTGTCTTTTCGTCCCAGGTCCAGGATGAGGTTAAGGCAAGTGAGAACACAAGGGTGCAAGTCAAAAGAGGCATACTCCAGAGCCCTTCATTGTGTGTCTCCTTAAATGCTATACCATATGTGGCTTACTTGCCCTGTTCTAGCTTTGGCCTTTATACCATAAACAAAACGCAAAAAAAAATTATTTGTATGTATGATCTAATTGTATCCTCTCAGCCCTTAGAAAGGCCAATGTTATTATTTTTCCCATTTTACAGAATGAGAAATTCTAAAAATCTTGAGAAAAATTAAAAAGTTAGGGAGCATCAGAGTTAGAACTGAATATCAATTCTTCTAAACCTGAGCAGAATTTCCAATCCATGAGTCTATGACCCTATTTTATGTGCTCTGTGGCAAGGCATGCCTTTTTCTTCCTCCAAAATCCACATTTTAACTAAACTTTTCAGTCCTAATTATTTGATTTATTCCATTTTCCCCATATCCATGTATTACTCCTCATTTGTTTTATAAATGTTTATTACGCGTTATCTCTTACTTTTTCTTTTTTTGGGGGGGTTCCATTTCTTAACAGATGGGATACACCTTGAGGTGAGATACACAATAAAAGAAATTTTATGTTGTTGTAAAGCCTGAACTTGTCAGTGAACTTTATGAAGGATCAGGAGGTTTGCATTGTAACCAACTTTTATAGATGAGGAAATGTAATGACAAGGAATAATGATGACAGCTGCATTTACTAGGGACCTCAATGTTATCAGAACCATGCTCAGCAGGTAGCATGCAACATCTCCATAAATTTCATAACAACCCAATGAGGAAGTCATTATTATTCACACATTAAATATGAGAAAACTGAAGTTTTAGGAAATACAGAAAATTGCATAAGGTAATTGCAGCACTTGTAAATGTCAGGGCCAGAAATCAAATTAAGGTCTGACCCCAAAACCCATGCCTTTGAGTGATTAGCCCAGAGGTGTAGAACCGGTGGGGGGGTCAAGTTGGAACGTGGGCCTGATAATTCTAATTTCAATCTAGTTCCCTTTTTTCTGTCCTGGTATACTCCCACTTTCACAAAATAGTGAGCCATTTAATAAGTGGTTTTAAGTGAAGTGAAATTATGCTAAGAATAATTGTAGTCCATGTCTGCTTTAGCCATTTAGATGTCTCCTTACTTGGAATTAGAGCCTAAGTAGAAATATTACCAACGTCCAAACCTGCTGCTTGCTAATAGAATAGATATGGTGTCTTTAGAGCATGCAAATATAAAGAAGGCTTAGTAGAATGTGGTATTCATGTGTGTGCCTTGCATATTGAGAAGCATAACAAGGCTTGTGATAATTAAGTACTGATGCATCCCCAGGGGTCAAAGGGCAGTGGGTTTTGGGAGCAGTCTAGCACAGGGATGGCGAACAAGCAGCATGGCTAATTTATCCCAGGCTTCTTTCCCATGGAGCTCTGCAGTGGCTCCTGATCTATTTCAGCACAGAACTCCAGGCAGCCACTGCCCACTGATGAGTGTTGACTCTAGAGAAGAAAGCTATTCAGGATCCTCAGTAGAGTGAGAAGTGCATAGGTTATGGAGTCGAAGAGACTTTAGTTCCCAATCCTGCTGGTTCCACTTATTAGCTGAGCAGCCCTAGGCAAGTTACTTAACCTTACAGATCTTCTGTTCAGTTGTATTATTATCATCCAGAAAATAATAACGTAGAAGATGCCAGTATCCCCCACCTTTTTTTTTTTTTTGAGTCCTGAATTTAATCAGAATAATCCTGACATTTCACAGATTTTTTTTCTCTTTTAAAATATGTCACGCCATGAGTTCATGGGATTTGGAGTCAGCCATACAGACCTAGGTTTGAGCTGCAATTCTGTCACTTAACTTTGTAACCAAGAGTAAATTGCTTAACTGCTTGGTTCAGTCTCCTTATCTATGAAAAGAGAATAACATTACCTCTACCACAGAGTTATTGTAAGATTGAAAAAAAAAGCACATGACAAAGTACATAAGCTGTCATTTACTTGATAAATATTGTAATCATTCCTGCAAGGCAGGTCTCGAAGAGGCACCTATGTCCATTCCATTGAAAGCAGACATTTGGCCATGACACTGCACTTTGAGCTTGTCCTGTTTAGCACAACCATTGTGCTAGCCGCTGTTTACTTAACTGATGAAGTTACCTGGTTTTTGTCCTTGACTACTTGCTAGCCCTTGTGCAATGGTTCCTGATCGGAGGCTGGATTCCTGCAGATCATGTAACCTGGTCACAGCAGAAGTGGTTTGTTCTCTCTGTCTCCCTTTTGTGCCCAGTGTTACAAACTGTCAAGTAGAAAGAAACTGAAGGGACTCGGGGGTCAGAGTTGGGGACTATCAGGACTCCTGTACTACCTGATCTTTTGCATCTTATTCAATAATTATTGATTACCTACCATAGGCCAGCTTCCTAGGGCATAAACATGACATGACTCCTGCCTCAGGGAGCTCAGAGCCCGGTGCTGCCATGAGAACAAGTTTTCACTTATAAGAACAATGACTCAAAACCTAAGTTGGATATGCTAGAGATTCCTTGAAGAAATATATGTAGGTGTGTACATGCCAAGTTCAAGGAAAATACAAAGTATTTTCTCAAAAGATGCCTTTGAACTTGAAAGAAAGAGAATGCATCTTTTTAAAAAGTAAAGTAAGACTAAACAAGAATATATGCAGACTTGTGAAATGTGTGTGCACAACTTTTATTAAATGTATACGAAAATTGAAAGTGAAAATGTTTTCAAATATATATGTATATATAAATAAATAAAATAGAGTTTAAGGAATTTTCACAAACCAGACACATGTAATCAGTACATGGATTAAGAAACAAAACATGCCGGGCGCGGTGGCTCAAGCCTGTAATCCCAGCACTTTCGGAGGCCGAGGTGGGCGGATCACGAGGTCAGGAGATCGAGACCATCCTGGCTAACACGGTGAAACCCCGTCTCTACTAAAAAAATACAAAAAACTAGTCGGGCGAGGTGGCGGGCACCTGTAGTCCCAGCTACTCGGGAGGCTGAGGCAGGAGAATGGTGTAAACCTGGGAGGCGGAGCTTGCAGTGAGCCGAGATCCGGCCACTGCATTCCAGCCTGGGCGACAGAGCAAGACTCCGTCCCAAAAAGAAAAAAAAAAGAAACAAAACATTATGTGTACCTTCCAAATCCCTCCATCACACCCCTTCTAGTCACTGCCCCTTAGGGTAACCAACATCTTGTATTTTATTAGCATAAAATAAATTTATGTTTTGTGTAAACAGCATCATATAGTATGCAGATTTAAAACTATTTTCCTATCAAATTTCAGAGTATTTTTTGATGCTTTGTTCATTAAACTTAAGCCAGTGAAGTTTGCTCCACTGTGAAGCATATGCTTGAAGTGAAGGATTCTCAAGCTTGCGTAAAAATCGCTGACTCTTTCTGCACAGGACGATGCCTTTGTACCTGGATGTCCTGATCTTGGAGGTTACATTTCAGAATGTGAACTCATTCATTAGAAAATGCTTTATTTGATTGAAGGCCAGGTACTTGCTTCCCAGCAACACAGCTTAAGTAAATGCCCAACGCAGACAGTCAACATTACTGTCTCAAAAATCTTTCATTCTGACATATTATCACACATTTGTCATTAGGGAACTGCATACTCACATATGTCCATAAATATTTGGTCTTCGTAGACCCAGGTTGACCTGCTTGAGAAACAGCAGGAAAAAAAATCTCTTATCTCTGTCCTTGAACAACGTACAATTAAATGAAGGGAAAGTTTGAATGTGGCCTCTGAGGGACTTTGTTTCCCTGAAAACAAAATCATTTTGCCCTAGTCAATCAATAACTTTACATGGTAAACGTGAGTCTTAGGCTCGGAAAGAGGTTATCGGCCATAACATTTCTTAACACTTTCATAATGTTATCAGGAATTAAAAAGTAACATTTATCAAATATTTACAAGTTGCGTGGGACACAGCACTGTGTAAACGTATGAATCTGATAATATCCAAGCTGCGTTTTAAAACAGATGCAGAAACATCTCAAAAATGTTTGCTTTTCAATGATGCATTCTCCATCATGTAAAAATTTAACTATTGAGATGCTCTAGTGACACGTGGAATGGGTCACACAAGGAGGAATGTATCTCATGTGAAAGGTCAATATCAACACAGATGAAAGAGATTGCATTAGGCAGGTTATGCCACTCAAGGAAGGACACACATTTTCTAAATGAACATTGAAAAAAAAACTATTATATAATGGAAAATGTGAGACAAATATTATTTACTTCAGTTGATTACATATGAAAGCTGTGTACTAAAGCACACACCAAAGCAATAGTCCCTTCTTCTTGCTGTCAACTCCGTTCTTCTTTTGTTGTCAGTGGTGGCACTTCTCCAGATTCTAAAGGGGCAGAAATTCATTTATCTTTCTCCCTCCACAGTCCCCTGGGCACTTTACCTCTGTATAGGGCTTACCCAGTCAACAGCCCCCAGAGCTACCTTCATTATAGCAGATCCTGTATTCTATTAATTAGAGAAGGTCAAAGAAAAGAAAGATGAGGAGGAAGAGGCGGAGAGGGGAAACATAAAGTGATAAGTGACAATCTTAAAGAAGAAAAAAGAAGGGTATTAGCTGAAAAAGGGAGCCACTAAGCCCTAACACCCCAATCTCCACATTTTCCCTTTATCTGGTGAATTTAATGACCCTAACCCTGCAATTTCCACATTTTCCCTTTATCTGGTGAATTAAATGGTCCAAGAGACTGCTGCTCAGTCCTAACCTGGCCTCTGCATGCTCCTGTCTTCCCTGTCCTTCCCTTCTGGGCCACATGTGAGGGCCGGGTCTTAGTCAAAACTGGAAAGTGGCTAGAGTGGTCTGAGAGGCTTAGAACAATGGAATAGCACTTTCCAATCAAGAAAATGTTTTAAAGTAGATTCTGTTGGTAGGGCATTTGTTTATTTGTTTCAAGAGTTGAAAATGTGTATATACATATATACGTATGTACACAGGCTTGACAAAATTTTTACTTTCAATTTTCATATACACTTAATAAAGGTTATTGCTAATTTCTTAGCCCTTAAGTCTGAGAACTGTATTTAATTCTACATTGATATAGATGGCTGCTGCCAATTCAAGGCTGCAAGGGTAATTGGTAATAAGGTCCAGATACTCTTACAGAAAGAGAACAGAAAATATTTCCTCTTAAAAGATAATATATAAATATTTTTTATTAACTATGAGAAGAGAAATTGAGGGGTAAAGAGACCCAAACCTTAAATATCATAAGACATACAGGTGTATGTACTTTAATTTTTTAATTTCCGCATTCTGCTGTGTGTTAAATATTGCAAGTTATAAAATGTGTTTGTTTATTTTTATTATGACAAATTAATAAAGACTATCGTAAGCTTTTAAAATAAGGCTATACAATATAAGTCAGTTATCACTTTATTAAATTGGAGTATTAATGGATATTCACTCTGTATAAATATGGGTGTGAAAAAGGAGAGTCCTATAACTAATTGGCTCCCTGCCCCAGGCACCCAAACATCTTTCTGCAACTCTGGATTTGTCCCTCCAGGATACTACTGCCAAAATGATCAACACAAGGTCCCAAAATAACAATTTATTCTGCCCAAAGGACATTGTGCCCTCAGTCTCCTGGCCAGATGAATTGGCACAATTACATCCTTCTCTCTTGCTTTCCCCCTCAGGATATCCTAGGTGTCAGAGCTTTACATGTTGTGATGATTCAGAGAAAAAAATCTGCTAAGAGAGAAGGCAGTGCTACAAGCGTCTTCTCAGATTCTCAGGTCCAAACTGATGGAGTGAAACGCAAATCCTCCGTTGGTTTGTTTCCTTCAAAACTTCACTGCCCCTCAGGCACTTCCACAGGTCAAGTAGAGGGCTAAATCCTTTCCTGACTCTTGACATAAATATATCGGTGTTAACCAACAATGACCTCAAATTAGCCAATTTCAAGTCTTCACTTCCACCTGCCCCCTGTTCCCCCAGCAAGAATTAGTGACTTAAAGACCATGGTGCAAATGCCAGTTTAATCTACCGAACTGTATTTCTTTCTCTGAAGCAATCTGCTACAGAGGAAAATAGACATTCATTTCTCCTTCAGGAAATTAAACTGTTCAACATGGTTTCTTGATGATGACTTCTTATTTGTTTTGCCTCTTTTGCCTTAAAACTCTCTTCTCCCAGTACTTTCCTTTTCACAGAGCTGTTTTTCAGAAAAGCTCTTTTTATTCATTCTTCTTTCTGACTCAGAGGCACTGAGCTCTGTATGAACAAACATGAACAAACCCTTTCATCAAGAAACCCCACAGCTCACCCTGGGGATGTGCAGGAGCAGGTGTATATCTGCTTCAAAAGCTGTTCTCGATGTAAATAAGCTCAAGGTGGGGCTCTTAGCAAAAGGCTGAGGAGGTGAAAGAGGAGGGTGGCTATTCATGTAGACAGAACTCTGCATCCTGTCCCCTCTAAGGGACAGTGCCCGTGGATGGGTTAGGATGAGAGACTGTAGCTCACACACCAGGCACTTAACCGGGGCTTCTGACCATCAAAAGCTTCGTTCCAGGGAGTTACTCACCACTAGCATTGAACTGCCTTTTAAAAAGATAATGTGGGATAAGGAGTGGAGAGGAAAAAAAGACAGGGAAGATCTTTCCCAATGAAAAGGAAAAGAAGAAGCATTTACACAAGAACTCCTCAGTAGTTCTTTAAGACTAAAATCTTGATCACACATTTTGCAACAAAACATATGTTAAAGAAAATTTAAGGAAGGCCATTCCTTGAACTGAGCTTCTGTAGTAGGCCCCAACAGAACAACCCAAAATGGAGTCACATGTGTCAAAGTTCCACATCACCAAACTGAAAATTTAATTGTTCATTTGTAAGATCTGACCTTCCCAGAAATCAGGAGATGATAGCCAAATCCCCAAATAGGCCAGTTTTCCAAAAACGAAAACCAAAAACAACATAGTAGATTCATAGCGCCCAATCAAAAGGAGCCCAGTCAACCTGAGCTGGCATGACAAAGAAGCCCCCTCTGCTTTCACCCATACAAGGAAAGTAACCTGAAGCAACCTGAGATCAACTAACCCGCTTTCTGTACTGTGCTGCTTCCTTGCTCCTGACCAAGCTGCCTCACAAAAGCCAACTGTTTTGCCACACCCGATGGAACTCCTGTCTATTGCATAGGCCGAGTGATGCCTGGTTCATAAATTGCTAACAAAAGCCAATGTAATCTTTAACAGTCAGTGTGTTGAAATTTCATTCTTAGAAACACAGAAATAGGCCATATCTACTCACTGTCCATTTCATCTGTGAGACACTTGCCATGAGGGACATAGCTTTGCACTGAACTTTAAATATAAATGAGGACTAATTAGTTTGAAGAATCACCTTCATGTTTCCATTTGCTGATTTGTTCAGTCAATATTAATTATTGAGGGCCAACTATACACCAGGTGTGGCAGTAGGTACTGGGAACACAATGGTGAGCCAAACAAGGCGTCTCTATCTCTCCTGGGACATAAGGAAAGACACATTTATCAACTAATCACACAAATAAACATAAAATTACTAAACCCTCCAACAAGAAAGGCATGGGACTAGGCAAATAAAAGTGTTATTTGGCCTAGCCAGGAAGATCAGAGATCAAGAACACTTACCTGAGGAAGTGTTGCTTGAACTTGGATGTAAAGAAGAAACAGTACTTAAAACCAGGTGAAGGAAGAACATTCGAGCAGCAGGAATACAGTGGACAATGGCTCTGCAGGCAGGCATGGTGCATCTAAGGAACCGAAGGTATGGCTGGATTGGAGAGAGCTAGGATGACTGGGAGGTAAGACAAAGCAGAAACAGACCATTAGGGACTGGGTCACGGAAGCCATCATTTAGACATGAGAAGCTGTGGGCTTTGTCCTAAGAGCAATGGAAAACCATTGAAGAGTTTTACACATGAGAATGATGTGATGTGATATATGATATGATATGATATGAAATGATACGATACGATATGATATGATGTGATTTGATCAGGTGGGATTTCTCTGGCTGCAGCATGTTGGTTATGGCAAGAACAGAAGAGTAGGCAAGCTATCAAGAGGCTGAAAGAGACCAGAGGTAGAGGTTATTCCATACGTTAATTAAATAAGCTTGATACATATGAGATCCTGGTTTTTGTCTGACACATCACATACTTTTTCTTAGTGGGGCCTATTTACCTTTTCCCACTCGCTTCCTAATAGCCCTTTCCCTCCATTTATTTAATAGAGAATTGGATTCTGTCACTTATAAGCCAAAATCACTTAGCCGACCTGTCTGAGAATCTTTATGTGTAAAAGGACTAATTATAATCTCCCAGCTCTCCTCATGGGGTTAGTTATCATGAATATAATCTGAAGTAATAGGTGTGAATGTGCCTTGTACACTAGAATATATGAGATCGATGTAGGTTGGCATTGCTGCAGTGTTTCTAATTATGCACCATGTTCACCTTCTCTGGAAGTTAACAGAGTATTGACATGAATATTTTGGTAGAAAAAATTTCAGATGCCTTAATTAGGATACTCATCAAATCCTTAGCCAAGGCAATAATTAGTGCAGAAATAGAAGAACAAAACAGGCAGAGATAAGAGGGAATTGGTTGACTGTGCAGCCACAGCCTCAGGTCTCCGATACTACGAGAGTGCACTCCAATCCCCTCACCATGGTAAAAAGCCATGTGCATCAGCAGCAGCTAGGACTTGTGCTCTCAGGATGTATCCATTTATGATTGCGAGGAACTATAAAGACTCTAGGAACTCAGAGATGGTGCCATTGTTCCCCTTCACCTTGGGGAACACTGTCAGGGGAAAAGTTTCTAGTCTCTCCGGAAAACGAAACACAGCCACACTTACCCTCCAACTCATTTGTGAAAGTACAATCAGGATTTGATCAAACAAACCTATTTTTATAGGGAAGAGACTGCCTCAGGGATGGAGGGTAGATAGCATCTTCTGACTGGAGAGAGAAGAACATGGAAATACATAAAACTCAAAAAGGACTTTCCATCCAAATTCTGTAGGAGACCAAGTTGCTTCAGGGATCAGAGGCTCTCAGGCACATTTTCTGCCCTGTTACCCCTTCCTTACCAAATCTTGACATAATATCTAATGACTTTGTGGGTGGAAAAGCCCTGCTTATTTTCTAGAGGGAGGATAGGCAGTCAAGAGTTCATTTACACAGGGGTGTGGGGAGAAAAGAAGGAAGTTTTCAAGAGCATTCTCTTCATCTGTAAGCATTGCTTCCACCACATCGAGAATCAGTCCTGACCTTACATCACTCTAGCAGGTCATCTGGTCATCTCAAATGGTATTGGAAAAGTTCCCTCCAAACTGAAGCAGAGTGAATTCTAATGTGTGATAATTCTGTCTAGATATCGCTATTCCCTCTCAGTCAGGTACTACTCCTTGGAGAAATTGTGAGGAGGTACTCAATGAATCCAAACCACCCCTATAAGATGTTTCAATTTTGGTATGCAGAGGACTGTAAGAGTCTGAGATGGGAAAACCATGAGAATCCTACTTCCTATCTCTCAAGGAACCTTTGGGATTGTGTGTCTTAGTTCTCTCTCTCTCTCTCTCTCTGTGTGTGTGTGTGTGCGTGTGTGTGCATGCGTATGGTGCACAGTCACCTTTGTTAAGAGATGGCATTTATGAAGGGGAGCTAAGGAATCTTCTAGAAGTACAAGAAATAGCTGGAGCCAAAAAAAAAAAAAAGAAAATGCAAGACTTGCAACAACAACAACAATAAAAATCCAGCCAGTTGTATGACTGGTACCTACGTTCCTGAGCTGGTTGTAGAGGAAAAAGAAGACTGGAAAGGTTGGGCATAGTCAAATTATAGAGGGGTTGGAAAGCCAGTCAGAAATGGTGGGAGGAGGATTTATTCAACCATTGCAGTAACAGAGAGTGTGACTATGTGCTGGATATAGTTTTAGGTGCTTCGGATATATCCAAAATAGATCAACATTTCTCTTATAAAATTTGTGGTCTAGGGATGACAACCCACTATTATCTGCCATTGGTGCTTAATGTTCATGCACTAATTTAATATTTAAAACAACCCCATGAGATAAGCACTATTTTTAGCCTGCTTGGACAAAATAGGAAATTTGAGGCATAGGGAGGGGAAACATATTGCCCAAGGTCACACATCTGGTAAATATCTAGAGTTGCTTTTAATCACTGCATTCCATTAGTTGCAAGAGCTGAAGGATGAAAATTTCAAGGAGTGTGTTTTGGTCAAGGGGAGTTAGTTAGGGGCAATTGTAAGACTGCAGAGAACAGTCATCATAGTCAACTCAGGCTGCCATGACACAATACCGTAGACTGGATGGCTTAAACAGCAAACATTTATTTCTCACAGTTCAAAGTCAGGATGCCAGCATGGTTCAGTCTTGGTGAGGCTGTCTTCCTGGTTTGCAGCCAGCTGCCTTCTTGCTGTGTACTCACATGGCCTTTTTCAGGCACTTCTTATAAGGCCACTAATCCTATTGGGTTAGGACCCCACCCGATGACCTCATTTAACCTTAGTTACCTTCCAATAGCTCTATCTCCAAATACAGTCACATTAGGGGTTAGTTCCAACATATGAATTTTGGAGAGACACAGTTTAGTCCATAGTATCAGGCAATATTAAGATTTTAAAAATTAGTGATTATCCATGCTTGCTACCTTCATGTATTTTTAAATGTAATCCTATCCACAGCCTTAGGAGGTAGACAATAATCTATTTTACAGACTGTAGAACATGAAGTTGCAAGAATTTAAAGAAGGCTTTATAGTACTCCTACATATGTTTATGACCCCTGAATTAAAACCTCAGATCCATCTACTCGGTCCTGCACCACACTGACCCACCGCTGTTGTTGCCTCAGCCTTCATACCTGACTGAGTCCTGAAGCCTTAATGACGTTGGAGAAGGGGCCTTTCAGCCTGCAGAGGAATTGGCAGAATTTCTTGGGTGCTAGGAAACAACCCCTACCTGGGGAATATAGTTGTGAGAAGAGATGTGGAGAAGGAAGGTTTTGATGGCGAATATATCCAAGTCGGTTTAAGAAAGATGATTTTTTTTAAATTTTCTCTTTAAAGACTTTTTCAAAGGAACCTTCAGGGGGAAAAATGGCAGAGAATTTCCTGGGGTAGACTCACTTAGCCATTTGGGGAAATTAAAATGTGTTGTAAACATGGGGAAATCTGAACCTCCTTTCTTCATAGCTACCATTCATAGGCTCACTTTCTTAAAATGCCTTCATTCTCTCATTCATTTATTCATGGTCTGCTGTGAGCATGGCTCTGTATAGACACAGTGAGTGCTGAGGTGCTGAGGAAAATGTATTTGAAATTGCTGTGACAAGCTTCTGGAAAGTGTCATGAAAAAGGAGTCTGTGGTTAAAATTATGAGAATGCATCAGTTGAATGGTTCATTAATTTAAGTACACTTTCGTTTTTCCACCCCACTGAATTGGTCTTTTAGATAGAGCCACACACAGTTTGAATGTCTAGAAACTTGCCCCTCAGGTGACAAGAGGAAGTGAGCATTAGGGGCGTTCTATCACTCAGATCTTGTGTACAGCAGCTTGGTGGGAAAGGTAAATCAAAGCCAGAACTACATTCAACAGCTTATATTTGAACAAGTTAATGTGTTTTCTCTTAAACTCATAATAAGTAACATAGAAACACGGGTTTGATAACAGACATTGAGATATCTATGATTAGCGAGCTAATATTTGTCTGCTGAAACTCTAATGGCTCATCTTTGTGTTCCGACACTCTCAAATCCTACACTTAATTGAGTTGTTCCTCTGCACGTGGAGAATCACATACATGATATAATTTAATCTTCATAATGACATACTAAAGTGTGGCTATTTCCATGTTACAAATGAGGAAACTGGTGCTCAGAGAAATGAATGATGAATGGGTTCAGACTCCTGTAAATGTATGGAGGACTATGCCTACATATGTTCATCATCTTCCCAGGACTCAGTGAAGTACCCATTACACTACAGATGCTCAGTATTGTCTGCGAATTTACCAAAAGGTAACAGAGCCAGGTCTCAAACTCAGGTTTTTGGCTCTTTTGGCAGCACTTTCCTTAGCATATCAGGATGACTTATCATTGAGTCATAACAGAGAGTTATTTTCCCCTACTGGACACTAATACTGAAGCATTATATACACCTTTCAAAATATCCATTTGGATTTTTCTTTTTAATAACAGAAGATATATATGTTTACTGCATAAAAATATGGTGTAAAACAGAACAAGAACAAATACAACAAATGTATTTAAATAATTTGAAATCAGGCCAACCAGAAATTCCTGCCTCTGTTCTGCAACATCCTTTGCTATAATAAAGTTTATATTCTGTTTCCCCAAAAAAGAGGATTCAATTCACCTTCCAATTCACCTTCCTGAGGCTCAATAAATACTCCTTCTTAGAGTCAAAAATAAGACAAGATCTCTCTTTATGATTATCCAACAGGATCCAATAAGGCCATTCTTTGGACTATGAACCATAAATACAGTGCTGGAGAAGGCAAGTCTCCCAATTCAAACATTTTAATCCAAGTGTTATTAGGTAAAAACAAGCATCAAGTTCAGTCTGTAAACAGAAACAAATGTGTCCATCAACCATGTGTTGTTTAGTGGAAAGAACAAGTTTGTGTGATTTGATTCTAACCAGCAGTGTCCCCTTTTAGTGCCTCAGTTAACTCACTGTAAAAGTGGAGGTGCTCACACAGATGGTGACTAGGGTTCATTCTAGTCTGAGAATGCTATGTCTCAGTCTAAGAAGTTAAAACAGGTAACATGTATAAAAGAGAGAAAGTCACTTGCCAGCTTCCTCCATGACTAGTGAGAATTGGAGGGGTGTGGGCTGGGTGTAGCTAGGTATGTAAACAACCTCCAATCTCATTGCTAGTTGCTTTATAAACACTATACCAGTTGCTTTCCAGATGCCAATCATTGCTGGATAACTAACATTGTCTCACTCCAAAGAAGTCTCCACCAAAATACAAAATCCCTAAGTGCTTCTCTCCTTAAAATCACAACAAGCCCTGCCTTTCTTTGACTGATGGAAAGGAGAGTGTTCTGTTTTCTACTAAAGAACCTCAAGGAAACCAGAGGGTGAATTTCTGGTCATTGAAGATGAGACCCAGAGCTATAATGGTCATTCTATCCCCCCAGGTCCTTGCTGGTGACCTACCTGCAAGAACAGGCCATTTGGTTTTCCAAGGTCTCTTTTCTCCTACAAGATAGGACTTAGACATATTGCATTATAGTTACTTGACCAAAATATATTCTTGTTCTCTGACTTCATTTGACAGAGTGATAGGTAAGAGACATTGGAAAAGAAGCTGCCTACTCCGGTAAAATCCATTGAGCACAGTAAAATAGTGGTCTACCACTTCCTTTGTTTTTCCATCAACTCTTGTCTCTCCATGGCTTTCTAAAGTCCCTGTGACATTGTACTTAGCCTAAATGCATCCCATGCCCCTCTTTCCTAATAGCAATGGATGGATTGTTCTTGAGGGTGGAGGGAGTTCTTTGCCAAAGTTATTAACATCACCTTTACTCCACAAGAGCCTTCATTTATTAGTTATTCCTTTATAATTATTTTAAAGAGCTCCGGCTTGATTTTTGTGAGAAAGGTGGGTGAAGACTGGCAAATATTGAGGAGAGAGAAAGAGTAACACGATATTATCTTCTGTAGAGAAATGTGTTTTGGGGGTCAGGAACTGACAGGGGAAAAACACACAGACATTCATGGCAAGAGACTTGATGGAAGCTTAGGGGACTAATCCTGATGCTTACTTTATTTTCTTTTTAATGGGGATGTCAGTTCTGAAGAATAAACAGTCTTTCCTGAATCCAGAGTTATAAGCACTTATTTGTCTAGATAAAGTACAGAAAAGAAATATTGTGTGCTGCGGCCCATAAGTCATCTTCACGGCCTTTCAGGTAAACTACCAAGGATTTTTACTGTTCAACTCAGTGGAACACAAATTGGTAAACTGAGAGCTAACTGATCATGGCCATTGAAGCAGTCCAAAACTGACACCCAAAATTTCATCTTAATCTGAAATGCCAACATCAATTACCTACAAAAGTGCCACAGCAGGGGATACCCACAGAAAGGGCAACATGCATCAGAGGCTTCAAGGAAGGCAACATTCCAGGGACTTATTCTCAATCACTCAAAGGGTTTTCCTTTTTAAAAATTGTACCTGCTATTAAAATTGAAAGCAGCAATTAAGGTAGCTTTACGTTCCAGTGTCCAGAAAAGCTGAAGAATGATATGCAGAACCAAATGTATATATGGACATGAGTGTATATTTTTGAGCTGTTTCATCACCATCATCTGGAAAGCAGAAACACACTTTGGCTAGACTCTTAGATGTTTCTGGACTCTGTTCCCATTAATTTCTTAATGAATGTTTTTTTCTTTTTTAGTGACCATTATGTACCAAGCATTGCGTCCAAAGGCTGAGGCCATAGAGGTGATGCAGACCATCTCTCCCCGCATGGAGTTCATCGTCTAGTGGAAAGATAACATAAATTTAACTATGACACAGTAGACTAAGGGCCATGTTGTCAATTGGATTATAATCTCCATGTAACTGAATTCTTGAGTGTGTCATCAACCCTGCTTCCAGAAATGGGAAAAGGTTCTTGAACTCTGTGTCATCACCCAAATTCACTACTTTCTCAAGCTTTTCCTCAGCCCCACAAACCCCTGACAACAGTAGAAATAGAGGCCCGTGTTCCATAGTCTAAGTCTTTAAAAATTAAAAATCAAGCTAACAGACTGAGAAATAAATTATATCTCACCTCCATACATTGACAAATAGAACTTAATCTCCACCTGGAAGGCCAAGTTTGAAACTTTTAGGAGTTCATGTGATGTCATGGGGTGAGCAGGCCCCAGCTCCTGGCTCCTTCCTTACAGCCAATCCATCTTCCAGCCACACTCTGGCTCCATCCTGCATTATGAAGGGTCTCTGTGTTCACAGAACACTGAAAACTGTTCGGTCCTTCAGAGGATGGATGGGAGAAGAGCACATATGGGCACAGGGATCTGGCTCAGAGATGTTTCAGCAGGAAATTCTGGAGCCCTGGTACCTGTAGTGTGCTCTAGAAGGGGTGCGCTGTCTTCAAGTGAGTGCAACTCCATGATCCCACTTACCCATCACTTCATGTGCTGGGGTGTAGGCAGTGAAACACAAGAGCAGAGTCCTCTGCTGTGTGACCCAGGACAGGAGCTTTGCTTGTGCAGGCATGAGAGAGGTACCCACCCTTTCCTTCCTGATCTTGCTTCCTTGAGGAAACTGCTCCCTGCAGCCCTCTCAGGAGGCGCTTGTTTTCTATCTTGCACTTCTTGAGGATGGGCTGAGTGTCTTCCTTGCTCCTCATTGCCACTTCCAGAAAGTCCCCTCCCTTGGCCATCTTCAAAGCTTAAGCCCGGGGTCTGTAATCCCTGCTGGTTCTCTTTGTGACTTCCATCTACAAGCCCATAGTCTACTTACCTTCATTTCTTAAGGACTTTTTAGCATCTGCATCACTGCCACTCCCTTCAACACACAATCTATATGAAATTTTTGGTGATGTCAATTTTCACCTCAGTGTTCCCTCTAAGTTTGTTAACCTCTTGTCTTTCAATAATCTTGTTTTCCACCTTACTCAGTCACTCATTCTCACGATTACATCCTAGATTTGTTATTTCCAGCAACTACACTCCCTTCATAATGTCAATTTCAAGCAGTTCCCTTACTTTTTCCAAGTAATTCTCTCTAAACTCTCATTCCTGCAGACCTTCAACTACCTCACGACTTCCAATCCATTGATCCCGTCAACCCTACTTTTACCCTGTCCTGCACCGATCTCATCTTGTTACTTCCCTCCTTACCCAACTTAAATTCCATGATCAGTCCTTAATGATGTCTCTTACCGTCACCCCATTTTCCCTTGTTCAACTCTCCCTTTTTCATGCTCCCTTAGAAACCCTAGCTCGGGTTAACTCCAATCTTCCTTTTACTTTGTGGCTGAATGCATAAAATTGAAAGTTTTGTGAAACATCCACACAGCCTGATTTCACTTTCAATTCACAGCTTCTAACTTTATGTAGATGCTTGGTGCTGTCCACCAATTCTTCTACACTTTCCTTATACATTCTTTCTCTCCTACACGACGCTTCATACCTTTTCTTCTTTCTCAAAACTTCCAATCTTTCTTCTCTGCACACTCTTAAGATAACCTGGCTTCCCGTTTTAACTAAGGAGGCAGAAAAAACCAGAATAGAGCTTTCACACATTACCCCTCCACATCTATCCATATGCTTGCGTTTGAATCCATATTCTTCATATTCTTGCCTGTTACTCTGTTTAAACTGTCTTTGTTTCTTGTTAAGGCAAAATTCCTCCACTCATGCATGGCATCTTTTCCTCTCTTGCCTATACAAAGACCTCAATCCAACAATTATCCCAAATTCTTCTATTTCATCCAACCTATTGAATAATTCCCATCACCAAATAAACATACCATTTTTCTCGGCTTAAAAACTAAAAAAAATTACACTTTCTTGGTTTCTTGCCACAAACGCTCTCCACTGTTACATAGTTTCCCCACTGCCGTTTACTTGAGGCTTTTTTTTTTTTTTTTTGAGACGGAGTCTCGCTCTGTCGCCCAGGCTGGAGTGCGGTGGCGCGATCTCGGCTCACTGCAAGCTCCGCCTCCCGGGTTTACGCCATTCTCCTGCCTCAGCCTCCCGAGTAGCTGGGACTACCGGCGCCCGCCACCTCGCCTGGCTAATTTTTTGTATTTTTAGTAGAGACGGGGTTTTACCGTGTTAGCCAGGATGGTGTCGATCTCCTGACCTCGTAATCCATCTGCCTCAGCCTCCCAAAGTGCTGGGATTACAGGCGTGAGCCACCGTGCCCGGTCAACTTGATGCCTTTTATTCCTGTCCTCCCATTATTTCTTGCACATGCTCCATTCAAGCTCTGACATAACTGCTTGACTGATACAGAACCACTTATGACCTCTATGTGGCCAAATCCAATGGTTAATTCTCTACCATATTATTGACCTATCAGGGGCTTTCATAGATTTTCTGCAAAGAAGGCCACCAATAATCCTTCTAACCCATAATACTTATGCCACTGTTTCCTTCAAAAGGCAAAGCGTATTTCCCTGGTGGAGCTTGCGACATGCTTTGATCAATTAAATACATTGGAAGGGATGCTGTGCCAATTGCAAAACTAGGAATGTATTATCTCAGTCTCTCCCTCTCTTCCTCTCTCTCTTGCTCTCTCACTCTTTCTGTTTTCCCTCTCAACAGATAGATAGATAATTTTTGAAATGCCTGGTCCCTTGCACTTAATACATTGCAGGGTAAGCTCAATAAATAACTACTAATAAATCACAGATGGTAGAAATTTGAGGGGGCCTTGAAGAATGAATTAGAAATCAGGAGGAAAGAAGATGAGAGGAAAGCAAAGGCAGAGAGGCATTAAAATTCATGAAATGTTTGGGATGCCAAGTGGCTCTTTGTATCTCAAATATTAGGATGGGAAGAAAGCAATGATGAAGGTTGGGGCAGATTGTGAACAGTCATGCATTTTGTGTTATCTGTTCAAGTTTAGATGTTATCCTCTGTTGACTACAGAGCTTATGTGAGTATAGCTTCCAGATGGAACTTTTAAGTGCAGATCTTATGTTGTTTCATTGCTCCAGGACCGTCAATGGCTCCTCCCTATTGTCTACCCCTTTTAGTCCTTATCTTTCCTTTCTGACTTTCTTTTTCACATTTTATTTCCAATTCCCAATTTGTCACCTAGCCAGGAGATAGTGTTCACTGGAGCATGTGTTCTTCCCATGCACTCATTATTAGTGCTGTTCTCCCACTTGTAATACCCTTATTGCTCTCATCCCTTTATAAATTCTATGTACTTTTAAGATCTTGCATTGCCCCTTGAGGGTTCAAGAATCATTTTCCAATCATTTTAGCCCACAGAATTTTCTCCATTTTTCAAATCCCTCTTTAATTATGGTTAATACGAAAACATGGTGTGACACTTGATTGTTCTCCATAAATGTTATATGTGTTTAGTCCTAAAATCCAAGTATGGGATAAACTTCCTGAGGGAAAGATTTACATCTTATGATACATTTCCGCATTCTTTGCAGTTTTAATGTAGCTGGGAGGACAGTGGTTGTGAGCTAGTTAGGTAGGGCAAACCCAGGGCATCTACTGTCAAAGGTTGGGCTTGGGATGGGCGGCAGAGGAGGATTCTGCTAGTGTCAGTGGTGCCAATGACTTATATACAGGAAAGTAGCTATTTTATTCTAAGATCTGTTCTTAATGTCCCCTACTAAAGGGGCAGAGTATTGTATTCCCTTACCTGCAGCATTCCATAGAGTAGCAAATATACAGAAATAGAGCTCACAAAATGCAAAGGAGGAAACTAAAATTCGAACACTGGAACAACAGATAAATAAGGTTCCTAGAGTGCGTATTTTTAAAAGCCCATGTTTCTGTTCTGGTATCATGGATTGTGGAAGTAGAAACACCAGCAGTCAGAGCTGTGGAATAGCCAAAAATCAATTTAAAATCTGAGCCCAGCACAATTGCTGAAGGAAAAGCTGTGAATTCTCTACAATTGGTATGAAAAGTCAATGATAAGAGGAAACCGTGAGCACAGTTCAGCGTGGCATGAAACAAAGTCAGAGGACACAGAGCAGGCACACAATGTGAAACCTTAATGACAAAGGAAATTCAAACTAGATGCCCCAGTCTTTTACTGATAAGAGTTGAAAAGTTAATACCAGAATTATGCTGCCCATTAGAATATTATAATAAATATAATTACAATGGAGATTCTTTTCTTGAGCAACACACATATTGCTCAAGTTTGAACATTGCTGGTATACTGGAAAACATTTGAACCCAAGGTCAGGAAACTTGACCTTGGACCTACTCATGCCTATTGCTATCTGTTCATTTATTTTTTTCATGTATTCATTCAATCATTCCAACAAAACGTTTAAAAACCTATTTAGGCTTCAGGCTTAAAGTGAGCTTAAGCAAATGTCTCAGACTTCTGGAATTCAGATTACTCATCTGCAAAATAAGGATAATAATCCTTATATTGACAACCTTATAAGGTCTACAAAGAATCTGATGAGATAATGTGAAAAGCAATTAAACTATAAATACAACTGACATAAGTTTGTTTAACTTATTTAAATCTGGCCCCAGAAATGTAGTAATTATCTTGGCACTACATCTGCAGAAATCATCTTTTGATCTTCTAAGCCACTATTGAAACTATGAGCAGTGCTCAATCATCTATTCTATGTGCTTTCAGCACACTCCATATGTGGTTCAATGTTACTTGAAAACTGTCAAATACCAATTGGGATTCATCTGATTCCATTGATCTTTTTACTCATCTAAATAGAAATATCAGATTGAAAATTTATCACATGGAAAAAAATGAAGAAAAAGAGAAGGCTTCTGTTGCTCATAAACATATCCAGATGGTGGTAGAGAAGGCTGTGGTGGACTGCTTTTTTGTGCAGATACTACCTCTGTCTTCCCGAAAGCCCTGTCTTCTCCATTTGTGTCCAGGTGGATTCAAAGTACACCTTTCCCAGGTGCCAACATTCAACATGCTTTATAAGGATGCCTACCAGTTCCTTCCTTTCCTGTAAAAGGGCCTGTTTTTAAGAAAACATTGCTTGGCAGTTGTAAACTCAATTGTTAGAATAGCCAGCATATAAGCACATGCATATTTCTGGCCCAAAGATGGAAGAAGGTACGTTCTCTTACTTCTTCACTCTTTGGTGGTTTCTTGAAGAATGGGAGAATTTAGATGTTTAACCATCTTTCCTTCTTTGTTTGGCTTAGTTTTTCATCAGTGACCAATCTCCTTCCTGCATGTAAATGGGCTATTTTGGAGGCAGAAAAAAGTCCCATAACTATGTGGAATAATTTTTAACCCCATTATAGTAAGTCTTCTACATCTTACCATCAGTAGGTTCTTGGAAACTGCAACTTTTAAGTGAAACAATGCATAACAAAACCAACTTTTTTTCTCACCAATGTTATAACAAATGGATGTTATTTGAGGATTTGTTGCTTAAAGTCAGTTTCTAAGAGTCTGTCAATATCAAGTGACGACTTACTGTACTATGTTTTCAGTGTATACATAAAGTCAAATAAACATACATCTCTTAGGACCTGGACAAGGTAATGGCCGGAAATATCACCAGATAAATAAAGGACTTCTCTCCTGATCCAATGCTCTCCCCTCACATGTGACATGCTTGTCCGTACTGAGCTTTAGAGTTTACAGGACATTGTCTCTGGAACGCTCCCATTTCATAATCACAATAACTACATGAGGTCTATTATCCCCAGTTTACACAGGATAATTCCAAAGGATGAATTGATTCTCAGGGGCTCAGTCGGTTGTATTGGAATTCAAGTGTTTTGACTCCCAGGACTTTGCTGGTGACTTTCCGAACCACCTTGTTCAGCCAGGAAGGTGAACCTAGCACTGGGTGATAGACATATTGTCACCTTGGTGCTCTATGTGAGTCATCTTATCATCAATTTCATTTATGGAAATTCATGAAAAAATTCCAAAACTTCACAACTTATTTATTACTGTCCTTATCATGTAGGCACTTGGTGGACCTTGACAGGGTACACTACATATCTTGATATATTGTCAAATTTCTAAGTTCTCTTGGCCCATCATATGAAAAACTGTACCTTCCCAATCCCTGGGCTTGTAACAATGTGATGGGGCTGTTCTACAAGGAGTGCACTCTGAGTTTCCATTGATAGAAATACAGTGTTTGGAATGTAGAAGCGGGCAGTGCTAGTGTATGCTGATTAGATCACACCTCAAACACAACTTTTACTTCAGGACATTGATAAAATAAAATAGTGTCTGTGTTCAGAGGGTTGTGTCTCCACCACTAGGAACTAGGGATTTGGGCTTAGGGAGAACATGATTGCTGCCTTCGCGTTGGGAAAGGCTGTCAGAGAGAAGACAGATTAGGCTCACTGTGTTCTGCCCTCCAGAGCCAAACTAGGGTCAGTGGGTGGAAGCTAGAGGGAGGCGGGCTGGGGCTCCGTGGAATGTGGAGCTTTCCACATTATGCGATCAGTTCATGCTGGAGTGAGTTGCCCCGGGAGGCAGGAAACTCCCAGGTACCAGAAATGTGCAAGCAAAGACTGAGCCATGTTTGGGCAGAGTTGTCACTGCAAGTATTCAGGCACCAGAAGGAGACAGAAGGAAATAATGTCTCAGATCCCTTTTATTCCAGATGTTCTCAAAATGTTCTCCAGAAATTCATGGCAGAACAACTTGCTCAGAGGCATCTCTTATTTTTAGATCCTTTAAACCAGCTTTCTTAAACACCTCCACCAACAAGCAACCAGGAATTTGTTGTTTTGGGATATTTATTTGGGTTTATTCCCAATTTTTTTTTTAATTTCCTCCCATTTAAGAGGAAAAAATGTATTCCACAGTGGAAATGTAGACATCCTCAAATTGCTTGTAAACTCTTTAAATTGAAGAGAAACTTTCAGTTTTTCTTTTTATAGAAAACAGTGTCACCCTGGTGGGAGATAGTGGGAAACATTATGAATGTGAATGTGTGGGGGTAGAAAGTATATGAGAAGTCTCTGTACCTTCCTCTCAATTGTACTGCGAACCTAAAACTGCCCTTAAAAAAAAAAAAGAAAAAGTCTATCAAACAAACAAGCAAACATAGTTTGTGCAAAAGGACCCTGACCCTGCCACGTTTCTAGGAAGGGGATTGCGTTACTCTTTCATGAGTTTTTCCAGTATTTTTTATCAGCAGGCAAGAAATGGTACGTCAAACTTCATAACTGAACCGAGTGTAATACAGGAAATGCTTTCGAAGATATGAACAGGGTTTAGGAAAATAAATTGTGCAGAACGTAGGGTCTCATAGTAGTGGATGCAATTACCATTCTCTTCCTGAAGAAGTAAAGGAAGGAGCAGTTTTCAAAATCCGCTGAGGGTCCTCGTATGGAAAGGAGGACTGTCTGAAGCGGGGTCGTTGGTAGAGGAACCCAGCCAGTCCACTATGATCTTGCAGGGAAGGAGCTGAGGAAAACATTCCTTCAGTTTCCTCCCGGCCTCTGTCACTTACTAGCACCTCCTATGGGCAGAGTCAACCGGAAGCTGGCAGGCAAGAGCACCTATTGGTGCTGTCCTCATTCCCTGAAACATACAGAGCATGGGATAGGGTGGAGAGTAAATATGGAGAGGCAAGTGGAAAGTATCCAGCACGTCATTTCCCATAGCACAAATTCAGGTACCCATTTATTATTTGTTATACTTATAGCCTGGTATGGACCTCTCTGCAGAGTCTCTGTAATTGACTAAGTCTTGTAATTGATTCTAAAACAGGATTAAAAGCAACCATTGTTTTCAAAGAAGTTTTATCTCCTGATTATAGAAACTAAAAAAAAAAATATATCAGCAATAAATATTTTCATGGCAATCATATTTGGGTCCATTTAAGAAAGGGTTTTACAAAGGAAGATTTTCTGATACTCCTATTTCCCAAATAGCTTTACCAGAATTGAATGACTCCTCTCAAGGAAGCCACAAGCTTCTTATTGTCTCTTTCTCCCACAGCCATGTTGTACTGTCTTTCATGTGAAATCTGTGCTGTACTTTCTAATTTTATTCTAAATGCTCATATTCGATAAAACATTGCATTGCTTTTACAATAAAAACATTTCATTTTATCAGATAGGATTACATGTAAGGAAGACAGTTTCAGTATTGGTGGCAGAGCCCATAACAAGTTGCCAATAGAAAAAGCATACTCTGTTTATGGGATGTGAAATACCGCAGTGTTGGGGCAATCAATGTGGCTATGCCTGCATATAGGGGGATGGGCTCAATGGACATCCCAGATTCTGTGTACATATTTCCTCCTCCTCACCCAGAGGAATTATCAGAAAACTAGTGAGTCTGGTATTTAAACATAAATTCTTCTGTAATTTGGTGCTCTTCAATGGAGGTTTTCAGAGCTCAATTTCAGTTTCATCTCAAAGTGGAATTTCAGAGTTACTTGACAATAACAGGTTTGCTCTTGAAAAATGAAAATGGAGAGTGAAGTCTGGATTCCCCCAGCCCCACCCCCATCCCACTTACCCTGCTGAGGACTTTCAGCCTCTTCCAGAGTAAAGAACATGCTCAGTGTTGATGGAAACGCAGTGAGCTACCTTGTGGAAACGCTTTAGTGCATTTAAATGTTTACTGTAGCAGAAATGCCCAAATCACCCAGAGAAATTCATAGCACTAAAAACATTAAAGCTTGCATACTCTTGTGGATTCATATATTCAAGCTCCTGAAAGATCTAAGATGCATTTGAACTCAAATGCAATATATACAAATAGGCCATGAGGTAGCCTCATATTTTGATCCTGGATGTTCTAGCATTGCATATAGGAGGGTTTTCTTTGTCATTCATCTGGCTAGAGGATCTGGATAAGATAATCAGAAACAGACAATGCGCAGCGGCTCATGCCTGCAATCCCAGCATTTTGGGAGGCCGAAGCAGGCGGGTTACCTGAGGTCAAGAGTTTGAGTCCAGCCTGGCCAAAATGGAGAAACCCTGTCTCTACTAAAAATACAAAAATTAACCAGGCATGGTGGCGAGTGCCTGTAATCCCAGCTACTTGGGAGGCTGAGGCAGGAGAATCACTTGAACCCGGGAGGTGGAGGTTGCAGTGAGTTGAAATTACGCCTCTGTACTCCAGCCTGGGTGACAGAGCGAGACTCCGTCACCACCTCCCCCGCCTCCCCTCGCCCAAAAGAAGATAATCAGAAACAAAAGTGTATTGTGATATTCCAAAAAAAAAAAAAAAAAAAACTATCTAGATAATCTCCTAAAAAGAAATTTCCCTCAAACAACAACTGTAAGTCCTTGACTTTGGGGACTAAGTTGGAAGACATTGGTAGAGCTGAGACTATTCAGATTCTGATGTGGAAAGTAGAGATATTAGGGATTTCTACAGTATAAAAGCTGTTTGTAGCTAATAAAAATCTAACTAAAAATCAAATCTTCGTTTAATACTTTGGAATTCCATGTCATTTAAGTTTAATAGAAAAAGTAACTATTAGTAGAATTCTTTTAAAAAATGAAGATAAAAGGTGAAACCAATAAAAATATAATTCATTGCCAGGAATTAGATAGGCAGGTAGTAGAATATTTATTATTTTATGGTGTTTGTTTAAACAAGTGGTTTTTCAGATAGCACTTCTCAATTACTCTATGCTAGTTATATTTTAAGGCTAGAAAGAGACTCAGTTTAGATCATAATATATGAACCTCTTGTGATTTACTTTTTGATAAATATTGCCCAGTGAAATTTTTTTTTCAGATTCAATATATTGCTTTTCCCAGAAAATACTCGAAGCAGATGCCTTTCCTAAGTAAAGCTGAAATGTGTACAAATTTATCAAAAGGACATTTTCAGTTCAAATAATGAAAAGCTACCCATTGGTCAAATAATTGAAGGTTGGGCAGAGGGAGAATCCAGAATATATTGCGTGTTACACCAGTCCTTGTACAAATATATCTTGGGAGACAGCCTGCTCGGTTCTTTTGCAATAGAGTTGGTCTGGAAAGTGACATAAAATCTTCACTATATCATGTGCATTTTGTACACTTTACAGGGTTTTGGTAATAAAAATATGGAAAGGGTTTGTCAGAGTGTGAAAATGACAAATGATTACATATAAATATTTTCTTATGTTTCAGATGGGAATAGAAGGCAGAGGAATGGTGTGCAATGGTCACACTTAAATTCTTGTCACCGTTTAACCAATAAGATCAGTAATTACCCTGTTTGCTCTTTTTTATCCAAAGCTGTCCCTCAGTGAAAGAAAAAATAAGAGCCATAATATAGGTAGCAATTTGCAAGGAACATGAGGCAGTTTCTGTGTTTAGGCCAATGGTAAAATGCAGCTCCTTTCAGAATCTTATAGAAGGACACAGGGCAGGGACTGGACAATCACTGGACATTCTTAGTTCTCAAGGTCATATTGCTCACATGGATGGCCCTGGACAAAACGCAAAAACCTTATTATATGTCAAAACGTTCACTGCTTTAAAATTCTTCAGTAGTGCTCCATCGTTTGAATATGACACTCTTATCATTCTGAGTGGCATGCAAGACACTTCACAGCCGGGCCCTTGCTCTGTCTCTCCAGTCTCATATCCTGACACCCACACGTCCGCCAATCACCATAGGTGTATCACCATCAATTACTGTAGGTCCTAAGTGAACTATGTCCCCAAGTCTTCCTTTCTTTAACTCATTCTTTACATATTTCCTGGGTACCTACTACGTGCCAGATAAGACCAAATGATGAGGAGTCAACACGATCCAAAGGCTTGTGCAATTTATGGCCTGGTGGGGCTAACAAAGAAAAATAACAATCCCTACCTTTGCCAAAACAAAAAATAAACATGAGTAAAATAAAAACATTGTGATAGCTGCTGGGAAGGAAAAAACTTGAGTGTTGACATAGAGACAATCAGGGAGGAGAGGAAGGTGGTGACATTTAGAGTGTACCTGGTGAAAATCTATGGCAAAGACTTCCAGACAGAGGAAACAGCATGTGCAAGTCCTAATGTGAAAAAGGCTTTTTCAGGCCCACAGAATTGAACAAAGGCCAGTGCAGCTGGAGTGTGGTAGGTGTAGGGGACACAGCACAAGGTGAGGATGAAGTCGGAGCCAGGCATCAGATCATGCAGGGCCTTGTAGCTCACAGCAAGTACAATTAGAAGTCATGGGTTGGATTTGAGCAGAGAAGCAATATGATTTAATTTACATTTTTAAACAATTGCTGTGGCAGCTGTATGATAAATGAATCAAGAGAAAATAGGTGGAGCCTTTATTTAGAAGGCTATTCTGGAAGACAAGAAGAGGGATGATAGTGAATGGACTCAAGAGACTATGGAAGTGGAATTAACAATGCATTTGAAGTTTTGTCTTTGAGTAATTCCTACTTCCTTGAAGGCTCAGACCAAGCATCACCTCCCCTGCAAAGCTATTTCTAAGGCACTTCAATCCTCAAAGGATTGGAGGCTGTCTCCTGTTTTCTAAGTAGCCTGTATCAGGCCTCCACAATGTGACATAGCATAATATTGACTTGCTTGTCTGCCTTCTATAAGACTGTGAACTTTGTTAGGACAGAGGCTATATCTTGTCCTTGTCTGCATCTCCAGCCTGAGCACAGAGCCGGTGCATAAGAGGAGCTCAATAGCTGGTAGGCACATGGGTGAATTGTGCCCTCTGGCCTGCTGGAGAGCTCTTCACAAGACACGAACCCCTGAGTGGGAGCCAGACCCAGGGCTTTGGGATTGATTCTGATATTGAAAGGCCTGTGGAAGAGCGACTGCATACCAAGGACACCTACGTCCGTGAGAAGTGACCAAGAAATCTCAGATAGGAAGGCAAATTGATTTTTCCAAAGCCATTTCAGAGGAAGGAGTTCTTGACTGAGGTGGACTCTCTTGCAAGTACTTTGAGTTCCATTTCTAAACCCTGCTGCAACAATTACAGTTCAGAAACACTTGCTTGGAACATATAGCTCAGCAGACATGCTGTCATTTTTGACAAGGGTTTGCATTTATCAGTTGTGTTTCTGAGAGCTGTTGGACAGAAATCATAACCAAGCTGTCACCACAGCCTCCCATTACCTTCAAGCAGATTCCTTTTAATTCACCTCCATGTAGATTTAAGTGTCTAACAAGCACCAGGTGCCTGGCTGTTGCGGTGGGGCTGAATGTCAGGGTATTTATAAAGGGTCTCTGTTCCTGAGAATCCACAGGTCTCTAAACAACTAAATAAACACTTGTAATTGAGGATAGATATATGTATATGTATTTATCCATGTACAGTCATGCACCAGTCAACAAAGGACCACATATATGATGGTGGCCCCATAAGATTATAACGGAGCTGAAAAATCCCCATTACCTAGTGATGTTGTAGCTGTCATAACATCCTAGTGCAACATATTACCTTTTACATATTTAGGTACACAGAAACTTACCACTGTGTTACAATGGCCTACAGTATTCAGTAGAGTGACATGGTTTGTAGCCTGGAGCAATAGTATGCCATTATAGTGTGTTTTTTGGGCTATACTGCCTAGGTTTGTTGATGTTTGCACAATGACAAAATTGTCTAACACTACATTTCTCAGAATGCATCCTTGTCGTTAAGCAATGTGTGACTGTATATGTGTGTGTGAATATATATGTGTGTGTGTGTGTATACATACAGTATGTATATATATGTGTGTGTGTGTGTGTGTGTATAACACTGTATGTATACACACACACCCCCCTGGTGAGAGAAAAAAATAATGGGATAATTTATTCATTCCTCTAGGAGAAAGAAAAAAGTGTGTATTTATTCAGGGAGAAGCTTAATTTGACTTGGGTCGGTAAGAGTTTGTTATCAGTCTCTCTCTGTCAACTTCCCAGAGGCAGGAAAGCCCAAGGTTTAAGATCTTTAGCACCAGAGCTAGATAGTCTGGGTTCAAATCTGCCAGTTATTTAACTACTCTTCACCTCAGTTTACTCAACTGTAAAATAGGATAATAATAAAACATATCACAGAGTGTTGCTGTGAGAATTAAATAAGTTAGTACCTATGTGCCTGGAAAGGTCATTCCACTGGGAATAGTATGCACAGAGGTGATGGATGTCCCTGGAATGTCAAAGAAGAGCAAAACCTCTGGTGTGAACAAAATACAGGGTGTGTTTCAATAGGAAGATTGGAGGGGCAATTGGAAACACAGTTTGTGGCCCAGATCCTGAAGGGTTTTATACGTCACACTAAGAAATTGGATTCTAGGCTGTAGGCAAAGAGAACTATCAGTGATTTCAAACAGGGGAATGGTATGATCAAGTTTATGTTTTAGAACAATCCTTCCTGAATAAATAGAAAGTTTTGGACCAGAGGAAGAAACAAATGCGAGGCAGTTTCACCAGATGGTTACAGCAATAATCCATGTCAAATGATTTAAAATCTGGAATAGGATGGTAGCAGTAGGGAAGGCTAACCTGATAAATTTAAGGTTTCCCGAACATTGTGATTATGGGACTTTTCCTTCCTTACATAATTTCCAAAAATTCTTCAGGTCTCAGTTTGGGAAGTGCTGGCTCAGAATTTACTCATTTTGTGGATGTTTTGTTTCCTTACATCCTTCTGCATCTTAGATTATTCCTGTAACCCAGCAGGAATCGTGATCACAAATGGAAGAACTCATAAATTATCTGATGATGGACGGTTTGACAGATCAATAAGTGAGCCAGTCTTCCATAGAAACCGAGCTTTATTCTGAAATCTCTGGATTTTCACATCAGCCAGCCTTCCGCCATAATGCTCTCTTTTCTTGGCTGCTCAAGAAACTTTGTGGGGAGAGTAGTGTGATAAAAGTTGTATTTGAAGAATATTAATCTGTTGTCACTCATTTTAGATTGGAGGGAGAAAAACATAGTGCTCTGGAGGCTCAGCATTTCTTTTCATTGCAGTTTATGCAGTTC